CAGTATTCACTATGACTATTCAGTATTCAGTATTCAGGATTCACTTTCACTATTCACTATGACTATTCAGTATTCAGTATTCACTATGACTATTCAGTATTCAGTATTCAGGATTCACTTTCACTTTCACTATTCAGTATTCAGTATTCACTATGACTATTCAGTATTCAGTATTCACTATGACTATTCAGTATTCAGTATTCACTATAACTATTCACTATTCACTATTCACTATTCACTATTCACTATGACTATTCAGTATTCAGTATTCAGTATTCACTTTCACTATTCAGTATTCACTTTCACTATTCAGTATTCACTTTGCACTATTCACTATTCAGTATCCAGTATTCACTATGACTATTCACTTTCACTATTCACTATTCACTATTCACTATTCACTATGACTATTCAGTATTCAGTATTCACTATGACTATTCACTATTCACTATGACTATTCAGTATTCAGGATTCACTTTCACTTTCACTATTCACTATTCACTATTCACTATGACTATTCAGTATTCACTTTCACTATTCAGTATTCACTTTCACTATTCACTATTCAGTATCCAGTATTCACTATGACTATTCACTTTCACTATTCACTATTCACTATTCACTATGACTATTCACTATTCACTTTGACTTTCACTATCCACTTTCACTATTCACTATTCACTATTCACTATTCACTTTTGACTATTCACTATTCACTATTCACTTTGACTTTCACTATTCACTATTCACTATTCACTTTGACTATTCAGTATTCAGTATTCAGTATTCAGTATTCACTTTCACTATCACTATTCACTATTCACTATGACTATTCACTATTCACTATTCACTATTCACTATTCACTATGACTTTCAGTATTCAGTATTCAGTATTCACTTTCACTATTCAGTATTCACTTTCACTATTCACTATTCACTATTTACATTCACTTTCACTATTCACTATGACTATTCACTATTCACTATTCACTATTCACTATTCACTATTCACTTTGACTTTCACTATCCACTTTCACTATTCACTATTCACTATTCACTATTCACTTTGACTATTCACTATTCACTATTCACTATTTACATTCACTTTCACTATTCACTATGACTATTCACTATTCACTATCACTATTCCTATTCACTTTGACTATTCACTATTCACTATTCACTATTGACTTTGACTATTCACTATTCACTATTCACTATTGATTGACTTTGATATTCACTATTACATCTATTCACTTTCACTTTCACTATTCACTAATAACTATTCACTATTCACTATTCACTATTCACTAGTTCAACTATCAACTATTCACTTTGACTTTCACTATCCACTTTCACTATTCACTATTCACTATTCCTTCACTATTCACTATTCACTATTCACTATTCACTATTCACTATTCACTTTGACTTTCACTATCCACTTTCACTATTCACTATTCACTATTTACATTCACTTTCACTATTCACTATGACTATTCACTATCACTATTCACTATTCACTATTCACTATTCACTTTGACTTTCACTATCCACTTTCACTATTCACTATTCACTATTCACTTTCACTATTCACTATTCACTATTCACTATTCACTATTCACTATTCACTATTCACTTTGACTTTCACTATCCACTTTCACTATTCACTATTCACTATTACATTCACTTTCACTATTCACTATGACTATTCACTATTCACTATTCACTATTCCTATTCACTTTGACTTTCACTATCCACTTTGACTATTCACTATTCACTATTCACTATTCACTTTGACTATTCACTATTCACTATTCACTATTGACTTTGACTATTCACTATTCACTATTCACTTTCACTTTCACTATTCACTATGACTATTCACTATTCACTATTCACTATTCACTATTCACTATTCACTTTGACTTTCACTATCCACTTTGACTATTCACTATTCACTATTCACTATTCACTTTGACTATTCACTATTCACTATTCACTATTGACTTTGACTATTCACTATTCACTATTCACTTTCACTTTCACTATTCACTATGACTATTCACTATTCACTATTCACTATCACTATTCACTATTCACTTTGACTTTCACTATCCACTTTGACTATTCACTATTCACTATTCACTATTCACTTTGACTATTCACTATTCACTATTCACTATTGACTTTGACTATTCACTATTCACTATTCACTTTCACTTTCACTATTCACTTCACTATTCACTATTCACTATTCACTATTCACTATTCACTATTCACTATTCACTATTCACTTTGACTTTCACTATCCACTTTGACTATTCACTATTCACTATTCACTATTCACTTTGACTATTCACTATTCACTATTCACTATTGACTATTCACTATTCATACCCCCCCCCCCCCCTATGGGGGATTATACTAATATCACCTTGCACTACAGGCTTTGCGCATCGCGCGATTGAGGACATCATTTGGAAGAACTACCATCATTTTCGTCCTCTCACCTTTGGGTTTGACGCTTGTGCTTCAGGGCTATCACAAACAATCCTGAAGTCTTCCCCAAATCACACAGGTTTAATCCTCAGCGTTGGATTGACGATGCAGGTCGCGCGCGATGATCTCCGGTTGATCTCCGGTTTTTCACTTTTGGCTTTGGCCGTCGGTGAGTAGTATCGTTCATCTCTCGACCATTTCTTACGCCTTACTTGAAAATGTCAGAGTGTGTCCTCGCGAATTGGTCAGTCTTCATCAATACGGCTCTCATCATGTGGGCTTTCCACTTTTCGGAGAATCCTGCGGCCGCCAGCATCACAATTTTTTCTGAAGCGCCGGCCACATCAGCATCTTCAGCAGCTACAGAGGCAGAGGGGTATGGAGTCGTCATTAGAGTAGCTACTCGATGTGTAAACTAGTATTTCAATGTTTTGTTTTTCGCGCTTGCCACTGAAAATTTTCGGGTTCGGTTCGAGTTCGGACCAGAAAAAAACCGAACCGGACCACAGAGAACGGTTCTCTGTGGTCCGGTTCTCGGTTCTCGTCCAGGACCCTCTGAACCGGACCGAACTGGACCACAGCAGCACTACATGTATACCTCTTCGTACTACGAACTTTGACTGTTATACGTAGCCAAGATGGGCCGTGACATCTTGTTACCTGTATTCCATGATTTAAGTTGCAATGGATGTTGACATCGAACCGATTTCAAGAGCTTGAAGGGGCCCAGTAGGGCACAATGGTCTATCTCCTGGGGTCTGTGGCGTTCGACTGGATTTATGGATTGGATTGTACTTTATACATTTTGCACAGCAGATGTGCTCTGCGGAGCCCAATAATTGCGCAGGTAAGTATCCCTGGTACCATAACAATCGACCCGTCGATTCTGCTAGTTTTGGTAAAACATATACGCGTCGCACACTCGTCTCGTTACCTCAAGTACAAATAACTAACTCCGTGTGCATACTAGCAGAGCTGAAGCCCGAGGCCTGAGGCTAGAGCAAAGAGGTACAAGGGGGCGACGTTGAATACGTTCAGAAGCAGCAGAAAAATAACTATAGTGGTTTTCTCGAAACGCCCTATATAGGTATGTCATCGAATCATCGAATCCTCGAATCCTCGAATCTATCTGCGTGGCTAAAGTTGTGTAAAACGCGTTAGTTGCATTGCTCATCATTTCAAATTACACCTTACCTCTGAATTCCAATCAGTCTGAGTCACCATCATGACTCTGGCCTATATATTTAAACGTTCATGCTCCGCACCTTTTCCCGTCACCATTATTTCTCCCTTGCGTTCTAAATTCTCTGTATGATAGCCGTTGATCCTGGCTCCGCATTTCCTATCATGAGGGTATAATGAAAAGGTAGCGAAGCCGACCAGGAAGCGCTCGTGCCTGCTCGAGCTCCGAGTAGTGCCAGTGTGTGAACTCTGCAAGCGCTCGTATCACAGGATTCGGCGCATGGTCCACACCTGGCGCATGGTCTGTACCCAACCCTGTCGCAATTCAACGCAAACTTGAAGGAGGCTTTTTTCTAACTCGAATCAAGAATTGGGATGGCAAAACATATCCACACCTTAACCGCTCCCTGTGCTATCCATATCTCTGGTACTCAACTCTCGCACCAATTGGACGATTAAGCCCGCTGATTCCATCAACTATCCTAGGCATCTCCATTGATTTCAGCCTTTCGGAAAAGAACGTAGAGTCTGCTGAAGCACGGATCGGCAAATCGTTGAGGCCAATTGATCATGATGCAGGAAAGACTATGCGCCAGACGTTTTACCCACCAATGTAAGAACTTGACAGACGCAGACGAGTGTGCCATCTAAATTGCTATTTTGTTCTAGCAAGATTTCTCTGGGGGATACGTTTTCCTTACGTTTACGGTACAAGAAACGATTTCGAAAGAGCCATGAAGACATTCATTTCGATCTGGATGAAATACCTCCCGCATCTGCTACAAGACAAGGTCGAGCAGCTATCAATCCGTCCTCGCCTCGACAATGTACTCACCTCGATGACACAGAGTACCGCAAGTCTCATGACAACATCAAGATCGTAGTTATACTTTCTGGGAACACAATAACCGAGGTATGGATCCATGTCTTCCTTCGGATACAACCTCTGAGTCGTATATTAGCACGCAGAGCAGCCTGGTTCTACCTCAGATACAACACTGGAGCTCCAGCCCACGACCGACAAGATCGTTCAGATTTGTCCTCGGTGAGCCAGGATGACCGTGACATGTGCTCTCCAGGTTGACACCAAGGACTCCCCAGGTTCCGAATTCTAGTGATAGGAAAGGTATCGGAGTTTCGTTAATCTCAGGCTAGTATTAATGCAGTGTTTCCAATAGACCGGTGTTGGCAAATCTTCGCTCATCAACCGTGCCTTCGGAGTACACGAAGCGGTGGGCTACTCACGACACCATGTCACGGAGGGTCACTCATTATGTTTCCATAGATCGCTTCGACTCATAAGCCAGGCGAGGCCGACATCGACCACGAGTTTATCTCACCACAGAACGACAGGTTTGTTCTTCACGATAGCAAGGGTTTTGAACCGGGCGACGAAGGCAACGTGAACATAGTTCAAGGTTTCATCGAACGTCGAAGAGAAATGTCTTTGGAAGACCAGCTGCATGCTGTTTGGTACGGCTTATATCTAAATGATTTCATCTAACTAGTTGACAAAATACACTGAAGGCTTTGCTTTGAAATACCCCGCGCAGGCGGGCGTTTACTGGAGACGGGCACGGAGGAATTCTTGACATTGAAGCGTGGTGGAAAGCTGGGAAATAGTGAGTGAACCAATACCTATCTCTCTGCTATGTTAGAGCTCACCAGTGGCCAAGTTCCTGTCGTCGTTGTTTTCACTAAATACGATAGGTTCATCAACCGCGTCAATCGTACTCTGAATGAGTCATCTCTCGTGGGATTGAGCTCCAATGCCGTCAAGGAACTCATCAAGAACAAAGCGGACGCTGAGTTGAAGGAAATCTGTATTGGACCCCTAGAAAAATTTGCAGGGTTGGATGTTCCGCATGCCACGGTCTCCAGTGAGTATCACTGCTGTTATTGTCTTTAATTCTAATTCTTACAACAATCACAATAATGATAACGCAGCAAACAAGGAGCATGCAGAAACGCTGGCTCGTCTAATCCAGATAACCGAAGAGCGTGTTTATAAGCATGTTGCAGCCGAGGCGTCGGTGATGACTTCCATGGCCCAGCGAGTGGACCCTGGACTCAAAATAAAAGCATCAATTGAGTAAGCCTCATTTGCATCATTCTTATCTGAAAATTCATGTAGTGTTAGGGTTGGCAAGAGAAGTTTGTCTCGATACCACCTTGATGGTTCTTGAGCGCAATCTGAGCTTCTCTATATTACAGGATATTGGAAGGCACTAGCATCATGCGCAGCATTTCAGGACCGTAGGACGTCGGACTGCTTGCATGTGCTTCACACTGACATTGTCAGAGTGTGGAACTTCCATGACCCTCACGGTGTAATGCCCATCTTCGTTATCACCGCACGTGTTCTGACGTGATTTGTGTACAGTACTTGGGCAGCCACGAATTCAGAACTATGGTGGTGAATATGGTTGACAAACTAGATGTTGGATCTCCTACCAATCCTGACAGGACCATGTAGGCCAATTTTTCGTATGAATGGATTTTTATCTCATGACTATTCACAGGGCTGCTGGACTATCTACGGTGGGAGCTGTTGCAGGCATCTTGGCTGTCCTGGCGGGACCTGCGGCTCCCATCGTATTGCCGATAGTAGCAAGTGTGGTAATCGCGAAATGGGCTTACGACGTGTACAAGCTGTCGTACGTGCCGCTTCCTATCGTTGATTGAGAGAATATTGACATATCCTGCTCAGCGGCGTGGTGCTCCAGCGCTTTATAGCGTACATTGTCGACTTGACCCTTGTGCTGCAGATACTTCATCTTGTGTCGGACGGCCAGGAACTGTCTCGTAGGGTTATCAAACTCGCGGTCGCTGCCTATTATAAATCACCGATAAGCGGAGATGTCCATAATCGGATTCAGGAATACGGTAGGACATTGACGCTCCTAGAACGCGCAGACCGCGACAACCTTGCGTAAAATCATCGAGTTGATGGAATTGTATCGCATCGAAGCAAAGGAAATTTCTGATGTTCGGGCACAGATTCCGACTGTCGATTCAATTCCGGATGAGCCATGGTGAAATGCGTCTACAGGGTATGATTTTACCGCGTGGGCGGGTGTTGTGAAATTGCAGCTCTGTTATCATTTACAATAGTATTTAGAATTCCGCTTAGCCTATACCAGAGTGCCCTCGCATTCAAACCTACAATTTGACCTTTGTACCACACGTTGGACTATGGCTTTGATCTATAGCTCCATAGCAGACTCTGATGCACTCCGCCTCGCCTTGTTTTCATATTGCAAATTTTCTGAAGGCCGCCTCCATCATTAAGCTTTTTTGGAATTCCTTTTGACTTCCATCAAATCGGGAGCAAGGTGTGGACCGTGGATGTCGTCCTCCTGTCGATCGTTTTGTATCACCTTACGTACCAGGCAATCTTTCATCCAGCATTCTCGGGACGCGTTTCCAGCACACCGTGACTGTTCAACGATATCTGACAACGAAACTGTCAAGAAGTGCGAGACAATATGTAGTAGTATGGATCCAGCTGAGAGGCGTCACCCTGAAAATGCCTCGTCACCACTCAGATGTCATTCCTTAAACTGCTATCCAATTCAAACCCATCTCAGGTGCGTGAATTCTCCTCACTAGTATTATGGCTGCAAGAGACACCATGCGAAATAAAGATTGAATTTGCCTTGTTAAGCTTGTGTTGCGCGACCAAAAATGAAATACTGATATAAGTAAACGCGGGCCAAACCTGTAATGTTGGCACTAATTATATGGCAACATTGCAACATTCGTGATCTGACAATGCATGTTTGTCGCCTTATAGTGGGAGGGTATAAATATCGGTATGAGTCTGCTTTGGTATTGATTAGCTCCTGAGTAAGGGGACCTAAAGGAACGATAATAGTGGAGCAAGGAGAGGAGAAAGGGAGGCAATGGTGCCAGCGAGAAGCGTGACAACCTCGAGGATAGAAGTAACGTCGCAGCCAAGATCAGTGAGTATGGTGAGAACCTCTGCGCGGATGTCGTCGACGAAGATCTTCAGCACGGCAGAGAGCGGTGAAGAGAAGCTAAAGCGGAGGCTCGGCAAGAATGACCGGGTTACATTAAGAAATACTTGCGCAGAGGTCACCAGCAATGAGCACTGCGAGTTTAGCGATAGTCAACGAGACTGTGCCCTCAACAGGCGCAAGGATAACCGAAGAGTTTCGGCCAACGTTGAAAGATAGCACTGGTAAGCTGAGCCTTGATTTGAGCGACACAATGACGGCATTGTCTGTAGCGATGAAGGGTAGGGATATGATAAGATATACTCCAGTCAATGCCTAATAATGATGGTTAAATCCGGCTGAAGGCCGTAGTGAAGACCGCAGGATGGGAAGTTCAACTATGGTGTTGCCCGAAGAACTGATCCATATCTCTCGACCTGGGAGACATCCGGCTTGACAGAGGAAATAGAAGGGACGGAAACGCCAGGGACAGAGATTGGAACAGCGTTAGTGAAGGTCAAACAGCCGCGAGGAGAATTGTGGATGTGGTAAAAGGGTGCATTTTGTTAAGATCTTGGGTGTCTAGCGAGACAACGGGTGTGTTTCGAAAACACTCGGAAAAGACAGACGGTAAAAAGTTGAGACAGGCTTTCTCAGCGCGCTGTGGAAGTTATAGCCTGCCCTCATGTAGTTCGGGTTTTTGTCATATCTGTGGATTTCTCTCCCTCTCAAAACATTCTGAAATGCGCTTAAGATATCCATGACATATGTCAGAAGCGCACCATTACCCACTTTGAATAGAGGTTGGTACTTTGTCACCGTCGGGCCACTCACGAGGCGGAACAAGGTTCATACCTGTCGCATGTCACTGCTAGGCACTCCACAACTGAATGATTCCTGGGAAAGTGTCTCACCTACCTGAATCTGTAGACGTCGGCTCCTATGCGCGTGATATGTATGTATCCTGGTCGCTGATAGCGAATGTATGATCTTGATAGGTCGGTAGAAATCTTCACATACACGTAGGCTTGTTCTGTCCATTGTGCGCCACTACGGGCAATGCGGGTGTCAATCATAATATCGTACATGTGCAGTGGAGCATGGATAAGATTTCCGTGAGCAAATGTAATATTTGCACGAACATATATCCGCGGGACCGCGACACTTACGAAAACTTTACACGAAGCCTACGAAAGTGTGATTTAGCTCGAGTCCTTTGCTTGTGTGTCAAAAAAATGAATGATGGCATTGGAGAAGGTTTATGACGAAGCGTACATGGAGCGCGGACTAGTGAAGATCACTCTGGCAAATAATGTTATCAAACCTGTGATCCAAAACTTCCGATCATTCAGCTATCATCAATGATATCGTCCTTCGATCATGGATCTGTGAAGCTTGAATAGCCTTACAGGTTGGCAACATACAGGAACATGGAGGAGCATCCAGGATTGTGGGACACATGAATATATGGCCTTGGCGAGGCACGGGACTGGAGGAGAGGAGTGAGAGGGATCGAACGGTGCCCTTGACCATTCAGGGAGTGCGCGGCTTGCGTCTAGTTGCAGGCAGGGCCCAGTGCGCAGGTCTGTGCGTTGAATATGCTGTTGCCAGATTAGTGTTGACCTATTAACGACTTCTGGTCCGGTAAACAGCCACAAATATCTGACTACAACACCTTGTTCACCGCAAGGCCACGACTCACCTCGAACATATGCCTTCGCTGCCATCATTAGAGGCCTTTGCCAAGGTGCTTCCATATCTTTTCATGATGTTCAGCAACCCTTAATCATAACACATTGTCCACAGGGAACCGCCGCTACCGTAGCTGGTGTTGCAACGCTAGGTTTATTAGTTCCTCCTAATTTATGATGCGGCTCAAGTGACCTTTATATATCTTATTAGGCTGCGGACTACTATATTATGGACAAAATTATCTCATTTATCCATCCGCATTCCCCCCGGGCTCTCGCATAGGTATGTGTTTACTGGGCACTTCACATTCGACGCCAACGTAACTGGCCAAACTTTAACAGAGGTCCCAGTGCCCACGGATTTTGGACTTGAATACCAGGATTTACCCCTTGTCACTGAAGATGGGTTTACTTTACGGTGTTATCTTCTCATGCAACGGACAGAGATAAGCAACAGCCACGCTGCACACATCGATTACCCAGACCAACAGACGCATGAAGAGGTACGTCGCACTATCCCTATACTTTGCATTCATTCACTCACTTCTATTTGTTCGTCCGATGCAAGTTTGCATCCACCCGACCGACAGTTTTGATGTTCCACGGTAATGGCGGCAATCACGGTCACCGGATACCTCTCGCGAAAGTATTCTACGTCAAAATGCGCTGCAATGTACTCATGCTCTCATACCGCGGGTGCGCCCTCTGTCTTTCGCAATCCAGTCCTCGAGTTGGGGAATCCCTTTCTCATTCATACCAATAGATATGGTCATTCGGAGGGTTCTCCATCAGAATCAGGCGAGACACCGTATCTCCAGTAATCTACTCTCTTTGCTCACTGTATTTTCTAGGCATACGTATAGATGCTCAAACGGCCCTCAATTATCTTGCTTCACACCCATATTTGAAAAACACCCCCGTCGTAAGTATTGTTGACGCCACTTCCAAAGGATTGGGCTAACTTGCTTTTGTATCAAGATCCTTTACGGCCAGTCTATTGGTGGTGCTGTCGCTATTGACCTTGCAAGTCGAAATCCATCAAAGGCGATTAAATTCCAATTTGCTTCCATACCTATCATAATCTGAGACTGCAGATCACGGCGCTAATCTTGGAGAACACATTCACGAACCTCCCACGTCTCGTACCTAAAGTTCTTCCTCTTCTTAGCCCTCTTTCGTTTCTTTGCCATCAAAAATGGGACTCGGCTTCGAAAATACCTCTAATACCTCGGTCGATGCCGATCTTAATGCTGAGCGGTGTTAGAGATGAGGTTGTTCCACACGAGCACATGCAAGAGTTATGGCAGATTGTTTCGCGGCGCCAGGGTACCAAATCCAGTGACACAGGAAACAAATCTGACATACCGGAAGTCGGTAATGGGAAATCGAGATTCCTTGAATTTGAAGGAGGACACCATAGTGCGTTATTTCGATGATCTGAACCACCGGGTTTAATGACGGTATTTAGATGATACGTGTGTCCAGCAAGGATATTGGACCGCAGTCACTGACTTTGTGGCGAGTTTGAGCCGTTAGAAGCCCCTAACGCGGTGCTTGTTCTATCTGAATCCATACGAAGTGACATCATGATCATGGCGTTGGACAGTTTTTTTTTCTTTCCGTATGTTCACACATTCCTTCACAAACATGCGTTCACTATTACATATCATTTCACCATAAGAAAGCGACTAGTTTTTTGTCCATTATTGTTGTAACAGGGAAAACAAAGGTCTAAATAAATCGGTTTATCCTTCGTAGCGATACGCAACCAACGCTTCTATTCGGTGTACATCAGTGCTGAAGCTTCGCAACTTCACTTGCTGACTCTTGCTCGCCTCGATCGCCAGCGGATCAGTGTCGACCCACTCATCGGCAGGCACGTCAGCGGAGTCATGTGTATATGCAAGGATATTGAAGACAGTCGGTGTGTCGATAATTGGGAGGAAGGTTACGGTTGATACGATTTGTTTGAGGATATAGCGAATCTCGGCTTGGATCTCTGATTCAGGCTTTGCAGGTGTTCTTGTAAAGCAGGTCAACCAACTGGATGACCCGAATAGCGGGAGACTTACGGTTGGGCAGAATCAGCTGGTTGTTCAACGAGGTTAACATCGAACACCCATCGCTCAAGTGGTAGTCTGGCATCCTTCGATATAATCGCAAGTACGAGCTGCGTTACCGACCCGGTAAGGAGCCATTCTGAAGTCCAGTTGAGTTAGAGTATAAAGAATCGTGCGGCACCTACTATTGACTTGTTTCAGTATCCTTGAAAGAAAGTAAGCGAGTGCACAAAAATAGATGTCGGATGAGATGCACCTGTCAAGGTAGTTCTCTAGTGCCAAGTCCTGAGTGACGAGGACAGTTTGCCCGTACTTCTTTACCATGTGAAAGTCATCCGACGGATACACTCCACGTTGAAAGAGAATCCTGTATCGATGCATGAAATCGTAAGTTGTTGAGTCGGAAAGTGGCTCGAAATAACGCACGTGTTGGCTGCATATTTGAAAAACTCTGTGACAAGATTCGTGGAGCCTTTCAAAGTGATGGCCTGGCGTGTTGGTGCTTGAGATGTTGCCATGCTGGCGGATGCTGCTGAACAATGTGGGATGGAGAGACTGATTCAGCGGCTGCCAAGTTAAACTTGATTGACGAACGTCACGCTTCTCGCGCGTGTTTTGACGCGAATAGATCACGTGGAAGTGTTTGTTTCTAAGGCTCTTGCCAAACAAACTCGGTATATAATATACCAAGTGTGTCGGAGAAGCATTCACGAATCACAATCCTCTTTCTTCATTTCATATCGCAAAGCTTCCGATAATTCATCATTAGCACATAAAAATGCACGAAGTGGACCCAACTTCTCAATCGAATTATCTGCAGATCGCTACGAAGCATATCACCTTTGATTGGACGGTTGATTTTGACAACAAGGTCATCGCAGGCACCGCAACACATGAGCTAATTGCAAAAAATGACGAAGTGTCTGAGGTAATCTGAGGACGATTGCCTATCTATCTATTCGGCACGGGTTTTGAGCTGTCTCAGCTTCGATACCTCGTATCTGCACATCGAGGGAGTAAAAGTTGATGGAGATGCGGTTCAAGACGTGCGCTCTGCGTCTCTTCACTGGCGTGCTTCTCTGAGCTTGCATTATCTATAGTTCAGACTTGGTCCCAAGCATGAGGTGATGGGATCTGCGTTGCGTGTCCCCCTTCCTCGAACATTGAGCGCCGGATCGAGTATCTTGGTTGAGATCACGTACAGAACGACTGCGAATGGCATAGCCTTGCAATTCCTTGAAAAAGAGTAGGTTTACCATGTGCGCAATATCACTCTGTCGTTTATGTTTCTTCAGACAGACCCAGGGTAAAACCTTCCCATTCCTGTTTAGCCAGTGCCAACCCATTCACGCGCGAGACCTCGCTCCTGTGCAAGGTGAGAAGCCTTTATGATTTGATTCCACGACTTAGACAAACACTTATGCACATGGGCAAGATACTCCGTCCGTGAAGCTAGTGGGTGTTTTCCGTTGATCACCCCAGTGCTTGTGCTGATTTCCGATCATCAGACGTATAGCGCCAGTGTCCGTTCCGTACTTCCAGTTCTGCTATCTGCGAAACGGATTTCTCCGCCCTCAGATGGTCCAGCTCATGATGGCAAGATCATCGGCAAGGATGAAGTTGTGTATACCTACGATCAGGCATGTCTCACCAACCTATCATCACAATTCCACTTCATGACAGATATTGGTGTCTTCAGCCTACTCCGATTCCATCATACCTTCTCGCAATCGCCGCCGGAAATTTACAGTACCAGTCATTCCAAGTTCCTGATGGAAAACAATGGAAGTCTGGGGTTTGGTCTGAACCTGAGCTTATGGACAAATCGTTCTGGGAGTTCAGCCGGGATACTACTAGGTAAATGCGCATGAGCTTTCACTGAGCAAAAATGAATTGACATTGTATGCCAGATTTCTAGCGGCTGCAGAGAATCTTGCTGGGCCGTACCGATTTGGGGTTTATGACCTCCTTGTTCTTCCACCGTCTTTTCCTTATGGCGGCATGGTGAGCTGCACGTTATTCCACACAACCACCTACTCATTACTACTAGGAGAATCCGTGTTTGACCTTTGTGACACCCAGTGAGCATATTGCGTACCTGTATCGGACTTCTGACCCCCTTCAGCCCTTCTTGCTGGAGATAGATCCCTGACAGACGTGGTGATCCATGAACTTACGCATTCATGGTTTGGGAACGGTGTTACGTTAGTTTTCTGCAGCTTACTTTTTTATATTTGCTGATGGTACTCTAGGCATGCTCACGCTTCTCACTTCTGGCTTAACGAAGGTTGGACAACCTATGTCGAACGTGTGCTACTGCAGATTATACACTCACCTGCACACCGAGGTCTATCTTCTGTGATCGGATACAAAGCATTGCTGGATGCCCTCGCGCTCTTCGAAGACAAACCCAAATATCAAAAACTGGTCATCGACTTTAATTATGGAGAGGATCCGGATTCTGCATACAGTCGGGTGCCTTACGATAAGGGTGCCAATTTCCTCTTGCATATTGGTAGGTAGTATTTTCTTTGTGAAGTTGTCTATTGAGCTAGATTGTCCCAGAGCGTACGCTCGGTGGCCTTGCGGTCTTCCTACCTTATGTTAAGGACTACATCGCTACTTATATGGGTCATAGTATTTCCACAGAGACATGGAAGAACCACCTCTATGCCTACTTCCAGAAGAATGGCAGCGAGGGACAGATCGAAGCATTGAACAGCATTGATTGGGATGTAAGGCCGGACAACTGATGGTTGAGGAAAGAACCACTGAAATTGTCCGACAGGCATGGCTTCATCAAAGTGGACTACGTTTACCTGTTGAGATGGAATATGATTTGACTCTGGTGAATCCTGCAAATGCGCTTGCCGACCGGTGGTATGAATCGCGATACACTACGGACATTTCGAAGCTAGATTTCAAGAGTTCTGATTTAGATAGCCTGGACGCTAATCAAAGAGGTGCGCGCCAACATGTTTTGTTGTTTGTATCAGTTGAGGAAGTAGGATTGCAGCTGTCTTCCTCGAACGATTGGAGAGTTACAATGAATCTCTTCCTGCGGGTCACCTTTTCCATTTCGATAAGTTGTACAGTTTATCGACGACCCTCAGCGCCGAAATTCGATTCAGATTCTATACCTTGGTACTTAAGTCCCCGGCAGCGATGTATTTTGTTCAAGGAGCAGCAAATTGGGTTATTGGGGTGGATGACACAGGTGTCATCAAAGGTCGCATGAAATTTTGCAGACCTGTGTTTAGGGCGATGTTCAAGGTCAACCTTGACCTCACTATATCAACGTTCAAGCAGGCTCGGACGCAGTTTCATCCCATTGCGCAGAGTCTCATTGCGCAGGTACGCATTCCGTTTAGTATGTCCGCGTGTCCTTATCTTCAATCTATTAGGATCTTGGGCTGGATCTGACTGGACTGAGAGGTAGTGGATAAAAGGGGGTTGTAGCTGAGCCAAAAAAAGCATATTCATTACTGTACGGCTTGCGACCGCAATGGGATCTTGGCTAAACTATGTACTTATACTTGTTTGTATGTCAGCGTCTCGGATCAAGCAGCAAAAGATGACTGGCCAAACTTGGTTTGCTTGGACCCTGAGGCCTGAGGCCTTGAGGCCTTGGCAGAGGTGGACCTGAAGCTTGGCAGTGTTCGGACCTGAAGCTAACTTAAAGTGTCTCAAATTTTTAATATTACCGAGCGGGGGTTACCAAGGGCGGTCGGACTCGGGTCGCACTGAAGTTCTGAACACTCAGTTGTCAATCATCTCTATTTTCACATTCTTTCAATACTGCATTCATGAAACTCACTGGCTCGAGATCTTATCTATCTTGTGAATGGTTTGGTGTCTTGGCTCCCTTCGACCCAACCTGTAGGCTTGTGACATCTCCATTATTTTCTCCTCTGAGTCTCGGCGCACTTCGTCTGCTGTTTGCTGTTTATTCGCTCGTTACAACAATCACCGTTCTCGTTTTTGAGTCTGTTCGTTTCCACGACGTTCATAGGTAAGCAAACACCAGACTTGGCGTGGCTCAACGAGTGGTCTGATCCAGAACTTTGTGATTGGTCCTGTTACCCCAGTTTTTTTTCTTACTTCACCGATCTCAGTTACATCGGCCTTGTCGCATACTTCTGGGCATCCAGCGTCCAAACCATTGTATTTGTTTTGTCGGGACAAAAGGCATACCCTTTGCAAAAGTGGCCACGGATCCTGCAGCTCTTGCATGTCCTCCTGTACACCACCATCACCATATTTCGTGAGTTCAATGTTTAGCTTCCGAGTCTAAGTTTGAGCAACGTTTTGCAGCAATCATCGTGACTGTTGTTTTCTGGTCTCTACTTGCTTCTCCATCGACTTTTAGTACCCGGTACTCAGGTGTGGACGGCGTTTCCTCATATCGGCTGCTGTTGCTCATAATATGTCATTCCTAGCTTGGTCCAACGTATCCCAACATGCGATGAATAGTAGCTTCGCTCTATTTGAGATATTCCTAACGAATGCGGGCCCTAGTCCATGGAGCCACATCATGCCATGTTTCGTCCTTTTTGCGTGTTACCTCGGTGTTGCGTATATAACACATGCAACGCAAGGATTTTACAGTAAGTTTATTTTTACATGGATCACAGCAGCGCTGACGCCCACCATTAGCTTACAGTTTCCTTGATCCATCTGTAGAGCACGGACGGTTAGCTGCTTACATCATCGGCATGGGTGTTGGTTACTGCATTCTCTTCACGATCGTGAAGGGTGTCTGTGCACTGCGGTGCCGTTTAGTCTCGCCTTCCCCTTTGGGCCCTTCCGAACGAGTACAGTCCGAAGCTATAGATGAGTGGGAGCACATTGATGTCGAACAGCCGAAGGAGTCAACTGGATCTGATGCTTAAGTATTTATTCTCCCTTTGTTTATTGTTATCTTCATGGATTGGACTGAATTGGCTACTGATAGTGGACTTTTTCCGGAACATCATGTTCGTCCTTATACTACAATGTTGGTTATGTATTATTATGCGATCGGTTTCTTCCCCGTGGGGTTGGCTTTCGCACACTGATGTCCCGCTGTCCCTTCGGGAACAGGATGCCGACGGTACCGGCTCACTTGCCAGAACTTATCACGAGCTCAATTCGCTCAGTATGATCGACTTATAGTCACGTACAATGTCCATGATTAGTATATTCTGGATGCTGACTATTTTAGAGTCTTCATTTTGCTCCGAGAGCACGGAAGGCATCCAACCAAGATTCCGCGTTCTCACTAATCAAATTATGGTCGCACGCAAGGCGTACGTTCTATCTCAGGCGCCAATAATAAACAATCAGGCGGCTTGAAGGTACATACTTGACGTACGTGTGACTTGCGCGCTCTTGAACGTGAAATTTTAGGTCTGCCTTGATTTCTTGTGTCACGGGCATTCACTGATTACAACGAAGAAAAACCGAATGGCGCTCTGGGAGCGAAATATGACCCTTGTGATCTCATCGACCTGCTTATGAGCGGCCCGTTGCGGCCACAAGTAGGTGTGCGCGGTCTTCGCTTGCCAGGGTCATTGCAATGACCCTATGATATGATTTTCGCTAATCGGATATTTTGCGCGATATAAGACGACCTCGCGAACTTGTCAAGTCAGTACTTCTGCTCCATGGCGTTTCTACAGGGTGTGAAGCTTGCGTTTACAATATTGGCGCTTGCCACGCCATCCTGGGCAATTGGTGTCGCACCTGGTCAGATCCAAAACTTTGTCACTTTTGGTGACTCCTACACTGATTCCTCGTACTACCCCTCCGCTGACGGAGGCTATTCCTGGCCAACATGGGCGGCGATGTATGGTGACCTTGATCTCTATGGGTTTGCTCGTTCCGGTGCAACATGCTCGAACCTGCTTACTTACAGACCCTTTCCTCCGATCATGGGTGAGTAAGCGCAAATGGTTTGTGATTGTTATCCTGATCACAGTGACCACCCAGGTTGGCAATTCCCTGCTTACCTGAATGAGACGAGGAATGGCACGCTGGAATTGAACTCAAATGAGACAATATATACCATCTGGATTGGAACCAATGATTTGGGTGTCAACGCGTTGCTTACCGGAAGTGATGCCCCCACCACATCAATTGTTCAGGTCAGGCAATGCGCTGTCGATGTCCTAAATATGTTGTACGAGAGCGGTGCTAGGAACTTCATCATGCAGAACGTGAGTGTATGATCGTTGGGCCACTGTGTCTTAAGCTCATTTCGCACATACAGATACTTCCCCTTGACTTGACAATCCTGTACTCTAACTACTCGTACCCCAACACTTACTGGAACTTGGAACGCAATACAACTGGATGGAACGTGCACATGACGGAGCTGGTACGTGCAGGGAATGAAATCACATCCCTCAAGCTCGATGCGCTTCTGCCTACGCTCCCTGATGCTCATATTGGTCAGTCAACATTACGATCTGCTTCGAGAGAACGACTGACCCATAGTAACGCAGCATCTTTTGACTCCTACGGGCTTTTCACCGACATGTATAACAACCCTCAGAACTATTTTAATGGCACTGCGCCATACAACGTAACGGGCTGCATACATTCATGTGTGTACTCTATAGACAGCACGGCAGCACCGGCTTGCACAATCACCAATGGTACTGACGCAGATAGCTTCATGTGGTCAGTCCAAAGGCCATTCCAAATAGCGACCTAGTGCTCACTTTCACTTAGGTACGACGAACTTCACCCATCGCAGCAGTCCGCCAGAATCCTGGCTAGGGAGTTGACTGCGGTGATGATGGGAGAGGACAACCAGTGGACGACGTGGTTGAGCTAAGCTAGTCACATTTGCAGAGTTTTGAAGGTAACGGATAGTACCTCAGAACAACTGGGGACAGTGGAGTACTTTGGTATTTCCCTTAATTCTTTTTGGTTATCGATCCGGCGATTTTTCATCATGAGTGAAGTCAACTCTATGACCTATTCTTGAAATTCCAATTTTTGCGGGATTCGGCACCTCAGCGAAGCACGTCAGAATTGCTAAATATGCTTGCAAGTGTCATCTGCTAGAACACGAGACCTGCCTGGACTGTATCAAGAAGCGCTCATTGGCAGATAAAAGGAGAAGAGCCAACTAAGTATACAACGAAAAAGCACCCGCTACATGGCTTTAAACGCTTTGGATTGGCTTGCGTGCTCGTCGTTCATCTTCGTCCTGGGGGTGATAGGCCATCGCTTGCGTCGCCAGAATAGATCCCACTCGCTACCATCTGGCCCGCCGCAGAAACCATTGATAGGGAATTATCTCGACGTCCCCAAGGCGGAGCCATGGAAAACATTCTCGCAATGGGGAAAGCTATATGGTCTGTCCTAAAATGCTGTACCATTGGACGTATATTCAATAGTGCAAGCAGGCGACCTCGTATACGTAAAAGTCCTCGGAAACAAACTTCTCATCCTGAACGACTTGGAAAGTATGCGCGAGCTTCTTGAGAAGAGATCGCAGAAGTATTCTGATAGGCCATCGTTTGTGATGGCCAAATATATGGGGATCGAGAACGTGAGCACATGCAATAGCGCACTTCATGGCTAGAAACAAATCGACATTGGACAGAATCTGTCGTTCGCTCCCTACGGTCCAGATTGGAGGCGAGGACGGAAGCTCATACATGGCACCGTTAACCAGGAAGCCGTCCAGAAGTATCATTCGCTACAAGAGAATGTTGCCGCCAGATTTTTGAGAGACTTGGTGGAATATCCTTCAGAAGTCATGAAGCACCTGCATATGTAAGATCAGCTGTGCATCAGCCCATGTTTCCCTCCTGACTCCTGACTTGGCATTACCAAGGGCCACGGCTCAAATCATCGCGTCCATAACCTATGGGTTTTCTATCGACACTCCAAACAATGTGGTGAGTGAAACATTGGACAATGGCTCCAATCCTTTTCAACAGGGACTTGCAGTACTTTGACGAATTTGCCGAAACGGAGCGAATCGTCCTGAAAAGCGTGGTTCCGGGGGCCTATTTGGTTGATATGATTCCTCTATGTAAGGTTGTTTTTATCATGGCAGACAATTAGGCTGAAGGCGACGTAGTATGGTATCTGCCATCCTGGGTCCCATTTAACAGCATACAGCGAACAGCTGAGAGGGGGCGGCAGCGGGTGTCTGATATCGTGCACCATCCGATGGAGCAAGTAGAACAGGATATGAAACAAGGAGCGTCTTCAGCTTCATTTGTTTCTGATCATCTAAGGGAAGGCGGGAGCGATAAAGTGATCAGACAGCAACTACCTTGGGTAGCGTGGTCAATATATGAAGGTATGTTTTTACCCCATTGACTGAAAAGAGGGATGACATCGTTATCCGACTGTAAGCCGGAAATGACACAGTAAACATTTCATAGCTCTGGGATATGGGTTTATCTGACCGTGCAAAAGACTAGTGGAACCATGCTGGTCTTCATGCATGCTATGGCGTGTTTCCCAGAGGTCCAGACCCGCATGCGCGAGGAGATACACAGAGTCGTAGGGACTGACCGCCTGCCATCTTTCGATGACAGGGGACGGCTGCCATATATCAATGCAGCAATTAAGGAAGTGTACCGCTGGAAACCCAACTCACCTTTGGGCGCACCAAGGAAATTACAAGATGCGGATGTCTATAGAGGTTTTTTCAATCATAAGCGGCCAGGAACACGTTTTGACCCCTTGAGCAGGGTACTATATACCGAAAGGCACCACTGTTATGCCTAATACCTGGTGAGTAAGAAATATGCACCCACGGAATGTACTTATCCTTCAATATAGGTTACTCAGTCGGGACCAGGACAGTGGCATAGATCCCGAGGCATTTTCTCCAGAACGCTTTCTTGATACCCACGTAGAGAAAACGGCGCTTGATCCCTACAGTTATGCGTTTGGCTTTGGAAGAAGGTGAGTGCGCGTTACAACACCTAATGAAACTCGTTGACACCCACGCCCAGAATGTGCCCAGGGCGTTTTTTAGCAGATAACTCCGTGTTCATGCTTGTAACAAGTATAGTGGCGACCATGCGGATTTCGAAACCCAAGGATAGCCATGGCATGGAAAAGCCATTTGATCCTCCATATATACCCGCAGGTCTGGCCAGGTGCGTCCCAGTGAACAGTAAACAGGGGGAGCACTCATGTGATTCAGTTTTCCTTATCCATTCGAAGTCGACATCGAACCGGTGTCTGACAAAGCAGTGGCTGTCGTGAAAGGTATAGCGACGAGTATTGATTGAATATTCGCGTATGTAATGGGAGCGCGAAGGCTCTGATGGTACAACGTATGAGGCCAGCCCTTATTGATGATGTAGTAGCTTTCCCTAGGTATAAGTGTCACAAACTTACGAGGATTCCTGATTTTAACATATGCCCATTTGCGATTGCATATCTGAATCGTGCGCGTGATGTTCCAAAGATATCGAGGAACTGTATCACGAGATATTTCGCCATTCATCGAACGAGCGGCGCTTTCAAAAGTGCAGCAGATTAATCGTGCACTGTCCCTACATCAAGATCCCAGTATACGCTGCGGAGCACGCAGGATAGGACTGAGTGAGGACATTACAGAGGAAAAAGACCTCTCGAGTACATGTACATGCTGTACAGAGGGCCTATGATGTCAGGGATCTCCAGAATGCTCCCTGCTGGTCCGATATCCAGAGTGATGAAGTGCTTCCGTACAGGCTGAGAAGGGTCCAAAATGAGACACTGCTAGCTGTGAAAGTTGAATGTCCCGAGAAGGGGCTGGTCGCCAATATAGAACTATGTAAGTCAGTGCAATAAGACGAGCGAAAATCATTTTCAGAAATGCAGCTATCATAGTAGATGCTTGAAACGCGTCCACCGGGACGAAAAGGCTAGGAAAGCGAAAGGTGCCGAGGATGATAGCACTTGTATCATGAGGTGTATCGCAGGATTGCATGGCGTTTTGAGAACAGGGACCAAAGGTTTTATCAAGGCTCGGTCTTTGAAAAGAGGATTTGGGAGGCCACAATAAGTTGCTCAACTCCCATTTTCCACCGCTTGCATATAGTAACCAGTCACGTAGGCAATCCTAATAGCGAGAGCCGAGCACTCGACTAGAATTGGAATTGACCATCGTTTAGTGAATAACCATGTTTTCGCTCATCTGGTAGTGTTCGTGTAAAAGTGAGGTTATATCCAGCGTGTACTGGCACAGTGTAGCCAACATTCAACGAGTTCCCCAATCTAGCTTCACATTCGCCACCTCAGAGCGCCCGCCACCAAAAAACCTTGGCCTAGTGTCAGCGGATAACAAGAGTGCAAACAAATATCTCACAGACTCCCAGCCCACCCATGACTCTTTTGCCAGCTATACTCCCCGGTGCACTAGGACGAGCCATTCTCAGGGCATAGATGCCGGTTGCAGCGAACGCGCCGCTTCCTATGATGCGACAAGTCATGCAGTCATTGTACGATGAAACCTGAGGGACGAAGGTAGTGTCGGAGTCAGGTGCTGCGGAGCTGGTTATGTTTGATTCAGGCGCGTTCATGCCCGCTCTATGTAGTTGCGAAAGAAAAGTAGAAAGCATCACGGAAGGACCCCGAAAACAGGGGCCCATATTGTTAACATGAAGTTACGTAGAAAAGAGCGTATTACTAGCACATATATAAAAGAGTGTATTAGCCTTTATAGAAGACATCGTGAAGTGCTTCTAATTGAAAAATGATAGATGGATAGATGTAACGAAAGGAGGGTTTTACCCCCGACGAACACAAGTCGCCTTGAGTTTATGCAAACTAATATTGCCCAAATGCATAACACAGTATCTCCGAAAGGCGTCTTTGCATCAATTCGGGGCACATGCAACCCTCAGTCCACCCATTGGCCGTCTTCGCGGGTTCGCTAAACATGGTAAAATCGTCCTCAGTATCCATTAGGTCATAGAAGACCAACGACGGGTCTTGGTAGTGAGGGTGTGATTGGTGGGGCGAAGCAGAGGACTGAGACGATGTGGTCCTGTCTGATACGGAAGGGACAGAAACATGACCGCCTTCGCGTCCGCTGCGCGAAGAAGGAACATATCCATGTTTTGTTTTGCGATGGCGCGTCAGGGCGGAAGGGTCGTGTGTCCTGAAGGTGCAATCATGAGGACAGCCATACCGTTGCTCGCCAGTACTAAAATTGTTAATCAGATAAACTCGTTACAGTTGATAGTAATGCACGAGCACGTACTGTCTGGCAGAGTGAATATCGAAGCTTCTTTTTATCATCGTCGCAAAGTGACATCCGGGAAAGGTGCAAGTGCGCGTGCTGAACGCGAGCTCATGTGAGTGACCAGTGTAGAATATAGGACAAACACGTACTTGTCTGCATGCCCAGCCTCATGCCTCTTGAATTCCTTAAACTTCGTAAAAGTTTCGCCGCACTTTGTCTGAGGGCAAACGTAGACCTGGACATTTCGGACTCAGACTCAGTACATGAAGTATGCTCGTGATCAAGCTTACCTTGGTAGGAGACATTTGAAACTTGATTATAGAGGAATATGAGTGGGGTTCTACTTAATTTTGTCGCCTGATTCTCCTTGGGATAACGATGATACCAGGTAGGCATTCAGGCAGGACTAACTATATACGATTCCTGGAGGTGGTAGTGACATTGTGCTTTGCAGTGGACAGAGGCTTCTTGGGTTCATACATAAACGCTTTGTTGGGGCTCTAGTGGACATTATGAGCCACGACAAAGGATTGTCAAAGCTTCCGCATCCATTCGAAGGCTTCATTATCCGTTATACGCAATGCTACGAAGAGAATTCCATTAGCAAACACTGGTCAATGTAATGCGTGATATATGTGGATGCTGAGGGAGACATCCAGGAAATTTGGCCAGTCTGACTGTCTGGGCAAGAGGTGGGGAAAACCTTAATTCCCAACATGGTGCTCGTCATTCCTGAGTTAGGCATCAGTAGCGTAGCCAATAAAACATCGTTTATCATTTATCATTGAATATTAGTTTCGCACAGTACTGTTGTAATTCAAATTATTTGCCTCCAAGAACAACAAGATCCAAAACCGCACAAAATCCGTATTCCAACAAGATCACCAAACCTAAGTAAAGCACAGGTACAACACGACAAGTACCTAAAACAACCCTGCCAGATCTGCAAAAGGGTCCTTCCCTTGCTGCGTCGGTGGCGTCGAGGTAGGTTGTGTCTGTCCCATCATCGCACCCATACTCACCCTTGATCCGGGTGTGCTCATATGAATGCCCAAACCTCCACTCTGCACCGCAGACATGCCCGTCGCTGGTGGCCTACTCATACCCGATCCAGGAGAACCCATTCCCAACGACGAGCTTGAATTCAGAGGGATACTCGCACCGCCCCCGAGATAACTGGGTGATGTTACCCGTGGTGGGGTAGGCGCGAGCATGATGGACCCGAACTGGGGCTGTGGCGAGGGGGCGTTTGGGACGGGTGATGAAGTGGAGGAAGAAGCATTGTTCGTTAAGGAGGCGTTGGTTTGTGAGGCGAACATTGCGCTAGCACTTGATGGTCGGGCGTAAGATTGGGGTTGTGGCGGTGAGGTAAATAATGTAGCTAGATCATCTACTGGTGCGACGTACGATGATGAATGCGACGTGTCATCGAAATTAATGAGGGATCCTTCGGTTTGGGCGAGCTCAGCGGGTACGGCGGATATGCTATAGTCGCCTTTCTTGTAGGCCTCGAAACGTGTGAGGACGTTGTTGATTTGATCGTTGATTTGAAGGAAGGCGTCTGAGTGACATATAAGACCTATGCCGGAGAATAGAGAAATGGACGCACCCAACGACTCTGGATCGTCTGTTTCCGCGTTCGAAACCCATTTCTGGAGCTTTGGACGGGCAGACTTCAATATCGACGCGACTTGCTGTTAAAACGAGTGAGGAACCTTTACAACTTTCCAAGAAATATCGACGCACGTCATACGCGTCTCCCGATGCGAACTTCTCTCCATGCGCAGTATCGACGTTATCGAGCATTTCATTGAGTAGAATGACTTTACTCTCGAGCTTATTGAGTTCCGTCATAGCTTGAGAACGATAGTCTGGCTTTGCTTCGGGGTTCGCGCCAGCAAGGGACTTCATAAGCTCTTGCGCGACTGCCAGGTCTCGCGGGGTACCTCTCCGGATAAGTTCCTGGAGTTTAGCAGATTGTGCTTCTCGATCTTCCGACTCAAGCTCGTCAGCGGATTTAATGTTCTATGCTATCATATGAACATATGAGATAGACACAAGCCACATACGAACTCACCATCGTCGGGGGTGCCTCGGCGTGGCGGGTAATTTCCCTAAAGCGGTACCCTTTAAATGTAAGAAGCCGGTGCATATCCTTAATATTGCCCAAATCTTCCTTCCAGCGCGACTCAGAGCAGATACCTTCCTTCCATTGGTGAATGAGCTCTAGAATCCGTGACATGACTGGGCCAGGGAACGGAGGTGGACGTTCAGGGAATCGACGAACGAGCTCGTTCAGGAATTCTTTGGTTGAGATCTGGAGGTGAAATGGGTAGCCGCACGATTGGACAAGGGTGTCAAGAAGTGCGAGTGCGAGTATGGCGATATGTGGGTTTCGGTGGTTTGTCAGACGTGCTATGAGCATCGATGCATCGCGAGGGCTGATTCAATGTCAGAACTAGAGATTGCAAGAGCAGAATTGACAGACCTATTAGCTTTCTTGGTGTTGATCAATTCAGCGATCTCAAGGTGAACGGCATAGTTGGGCTCATGGAGTGTCGGATCGCAGGCATTTTGTACGAGCATTTCCAGCCTCGATGCCCTGAACCAAGGCGTACCGTTCGACCCTCCCAGCATCATGTTAGTGTTGCCTAGCTAGTGAGCAGTAAATAATCTAGCAGACGTGGCAGTCACAGCTGCGCTCGCTGTCGTGGTCGCCTCGCCAAGATGTCCGTGGGAATATGTCAGCATGCCCTGCTTGTGCCTTTTTACTCAAACCACCAGGCTGCCAGCATCAGTTACACTCTCGCGATAGTGATGTCGGGCGAATGTACAGAGGGAACACCGATAACTTGTACTGGCGCTGAACAGATCTAATGGACTAGTAAGTTTTTATTGAATATGTTGAATCATTGCTCGGGGTGCATTTACTCCCCTCTGAATTTCGAGTCCTAGCCTAAATACTGACAACGTTTCTCATCAATTATCCTCCGAGCCTAGCTCTATGCCACTGCTGGACGGACATGCGCAAAGCACTTCATAGCACGGAGTCTTCGTACAGCATTCGAGAAGGAAACGGGCGTACTGTCACAAGATCACTGTTGATCTCCACACCTGATCGAGGATAAACGTTTCACTCGGAGCTGATAGAGCTGTACTATTAATTGTTTGTGAAAGCACAATGTAGTGGATACCGCTATCTTTGACTCAGAGCCTGGTGTGCGAATGACGTCCACACGGTGGTGCAATCATGAATACTAAAACCATTCAAAAGTCAGCAATCATAATAATACATAATCATTTCGCCGCTCTTCAGTACTCAGTGCTCAATTATAATGCTTCACCACAATCCCCTCGATGACCTCCTCAACACCAACCATCATAGGCCTATGCTAATAGCCGAGCTCCTGGGAATCGGTGCAGCCTACGACGTTACCTGTCTATCATTTCACGTCGTTAGAAATCTCTTGCATATCAACACAAGATGAATAAACCTCATTATCAATGACAATATATTTGTTCCTCAATGTATCAAAAAGAGTCGCAAGACCCAGAGCTGCGTTCGTGACATGGAGCTGGACCTATGGGCATTGATGAGTTTACTTATTGCTTTATCATGGTTCGTGGAATCAAGGCGTCAACATGATCCTTACCTTATTTGACAAACCAGTCGAGTACAGATCAGCTCGAATAAAACTAGGGTATATTCCGAATAAAATAAAATAAAATAAAATAAAGTGCAATGCCCGAAACAAACAACGATCGGACATTGAAAATCCTTCCGGCATAGCGGCAAATCGAACCGTAACCCCATAATTATATATCCAAATTGTAGCCAGTCTTAGCTACCAAGTGGTGTCACTGATGTTAAGGTCCTATTTGGCCAACAAATATTCAATTGAAATTCGCATTCGCATTCGATCATGTGACCTTATGCTGAACCTTGGGATCCGGCTTGATCTACTATTGAATGCGATAAACATATATATGTGCTTTAACTGATAATTGATGATCGATAACGACTTTACAACAACCACTATGACAATGCCAGACCAGCCTGACAATGCGCATGTCCAAGAAGACCGCATGCAACATTTAATGCTCATACTATGCCTCGCTGTCACCCAGGTACTCATTTACTATCAACAAATGTTCCTATCTTCTCGTGAACATGTACCCTACCACACATCAGCCTTGTCGGGCGAGGCATGGGTGTTAGAACTCATCATAGGCCACCCAGATCACATCCGACACAATCTTGGTGTCAGTCTCGACGTCTTCGACAGTTTATTGCATGTTCTCCGTGCAAATGGATTTGTGCCATCTCGCAATGGAGTTTCAGTGGAGGAACAATTAGCAATATTTCTATACACCTGTGTAACTGGACTCTCGACTCGCCTCATTGGAGAGAGATTCCAGCGCTCGTCTGATACAATTTTGTGGTGAGTCATGCTGGCATCTCAATCGTTCACAGGATGTTGACTGCTGCACTCTCAAACTTGTAGATACTTCAAACATATTCTGTTTTTCTTATCTAGTCCCCCGTTTTATTCTTCAGAAGTTTGGTTCCCCACAGCCAATACCCCCACTTCCTCGACAGTATTAAACAACATTCATTTGCGATATTTCGACCAATGTCTTGGCGCCGTTGATGGCTCCCACATCTGGGCATTCACAAGCATTGAGGATCAACAGTTCATGTGGAACTGCAAGGGGTTCATATCTCAAAACTGCCTTTCATGTGCGGCTTCGAATTTTTATTCATTTATTCACTCTGTGGGTGGGATGGTTCTGTTGCTGATGCGGCACTCTGGAATGATGCACGCATGCACAATCTACCAATTCCACCTGGAAGATACTTTCTGGCTGATGCTGGCTTCAGAGCATCTGATGCACTACTTGTTCCATACCGCAGTGTCCAGTATCATCTTAAAGAGTGGCGGCAAGCCAACCTCCAGTATGTTGAGTACTATGATATTCACAAGCTCCAGCAGTCCCTGATGATGATCTCAGCCCTCAGAATCCAAAAGAACTATTTAATCTTCGACATGCAAGGCTCCGCAACATAATTGAACACATTTTCGGCGTGCTTAAGTGCCAGTGGCGAATTCTCCAACAGCTGGTTGAATATAGTATGGATGTTCAGGTGCGAATCCCAGCAGCGCTATGCGCTCTGCACAATTTCATTCGCAGATGTGATCCTAGCATATACGACGAAGAACTTGATCATGCAGAAGGTGAAGAACTTGAAGATGTAGCATATGGTGAGTTAGCAGATGGACCTGCAGATGCTGCAGAACAACGACGAGCAGATGTGTGTCGCGACGCAATTGCACGTGCAATGTGGGAGGACTATGTAGTAGAATGCGTGCAGCATTGATACAGTCAACCGGCACTCAAATTGTAGGCATACAACATTGATTGAAAGATATGAATATTACATGCATGTGATCACTACTAGCTACAATGATTATGACTTTATGACTGAGTTGCAGTACAAATATCAGCAAGCCGCCTCTGCACCCACAATGACTGAAGGTTCTCATCCATATTAAGAAACTTCACGATGTGCTTGTCGTCTTGTCCAAGGAAGTCTATAATGTCAATCCTTTTGTCACTAGATAGTGTTGCACACTGGGAGACCATGGAGACGGCGCGGCCAAAGTCCTCTGCAGAAGCTCTCG